TGAAAAACAACAGCTAACTTAAGATGGCAGATACTTATCTGACTGAGCCACCCAGGCACCCATACCATCTCTTTATATATATATGCATTATATATAATACATATATATATATAAAATATATATAAGATTTATTTATTTATTTGAGAGAGAGAGAGAGAGGGAGGGTGGAGGGGCAGAGGGAGAGGGAGAAAGTCTTAAGCGACTCTTCACTGAGCACGGAGCCCGGTCCCACCCCTGAGATTACAACCTGAGTTAAAACCAAGAGTCAGTCACTTAACCCACTGCGCCACCCAGCTGTCCCAGAGCTTATATACCATCTTAATGGGAGAAAGGAAAGGGGAGAAAGAGTACTTATGGGAAAACAAATGACATTTAGGGAAGCTAAATGGGCCCCTAGGAGAATAACTGGCGAGCATGGGAGTTTTGTGACCGTGTCTGTTCAGAAGGTCTCGTATCCAGGTGGTAAGATTGTGTCCCTGGCTGTGAAGAGGAAGAGATGATTTATGACACTTGAGTTTTTGCTGTGGGGCTCGGGGGGCAGGGACTCTGCTGTTGGACAGATAAAGGGAGTTTAGGGAAAGAGCCCCTTCCTGCTCCATTGATTCTCAAATGCCCACAGCTCAAAATAATTTTTACGCCACAGTGGCATATTCTGGACCCCTTCATTGCTAGAAACAAACTCACTAGAAAGAAACAGAGGCCATATTCTAGATCTCTGTCTGCATCTAGGGCATCACGAAGTGCAAGTTCCAGTACCAGCCTCTTGAGTGTTTACATGGCTTCTGGGCTGCTACAGTTCCAGTAAATGTAAGACGAGCCTCAGGTGTTTAAAATATTACCTTTCTCCATCACCGCACACACTCTCAGAAGGCTCCTCCTGTTACACTCAATCACAGGTCTGGAAGATTCCTGTGGACTTAGTTTAGGGGGAACCTCAGGATGGAAAGAGGAGAGGAATAGGTTTGAACGAGCCCTATGTGCTGTCGGTGTACCGTAGGAACACACACACACACACACACACACACACACACGCACATCGTGAGTAGTTAGATGGCTCCATTTAAGAGGTGTTCAAGTCCCAGGGATGGAAGGGCCTGTCAGGTTCTTCCTGCTGTGAACTAGGAGCTGAGTGCACAATTGTACACACATGCTGACATCAGTGGGGGCTCTCAGGGGAAGTTAAGACATGTGACCCGCGCTCTCGTGGAAGGTCTGTCGGGGCAAAGGAGACCCTCTGTGGATATGGTGTGTCATGTCAAAAAAAAAATCACACCCAGCTCTTGTCCCAGATGATGTATGATTTCAGGAAAGGGCAGGGTAGGGCAGGGCAGGACAGGGTAACAGGAAACAGTGAGGAACCAGTCAAATGTTCACATTCTATCTTGAGTATTGTATAATAAGCTGGAGGGCCTCTATTGTTGGGGACATAGAGTTCACTCACCTTGGCTTGTTTCTCACTGACAAGAAAATTGGAACTTGCCATTTAGACTCTTCTCATCAGACTACTGAGTGAAATTCTGATGGTCCCAAGCTCATGCATGCTGTGTCTTCTCATATCAGTCACGCAGAGTATGGTTTGTTTGGCCAAGCCTAGATGGTTGACTGATCTGTGGTCTTCAGGTCAGAACTCACTCAATAGTGTGATCCAATTGATAGGATCAAGACCAAAACTGAACAGTGTCTACTTCCGGGAGGAAAGGCACTCCAGCACCCACTCCTCCCAGACAGTCATATGACAGAGAGGTACACAAGAAAACATACCCAAAATATATCTTAGAATTTGTTTTTTGACAAAACTTTGTAAAGGGTGAACTGTTGACTTTCATCTATCTTTATCTTGGTGTTATTATATGTCTACTCTTTATTTGAAAACTGTCCCTGGTACTTCGTTGATACTATAATTTTAATGTAATATTATAGTATTCCACTTTGTGAAATAAGTAAGACAATGGGGAAATAACTTTTTTGCAACAGTAACTTGTTTTCCCATAAAAGATAGTGAATCTGAGCATCTCTCTCCTAAAGAAATGGTTAAAATATAAGTTGGCCATCAACCGGCAAATAGAGGCAACAGTTTCAAGGGCTATATTGCCAGTAAGAAATTTCATCTTCAAAGCAAGGTATTAAGTCTTTAAATATCTTTCCTGTTTCAGTCAGCCCATCAGTCGACAAATATTTATCAATCCACCATGGGTCAAGCGTAGTGATGATGCTGGGGTACAGTGATGAACAAGGCAGATAAAGACCAAAAAGGGGATTCAGACAGAGGAACAGAGATGTTTTTAATTAACTGAAAATTACATGAGGCAGAGTAGTCAAGAATGATCTCTCTGATGCAGTCTTGAAGTCATAAAGGACAAGGAATATGGAGTTGGGGGGTCAGGAGAGACTGAGCCTGGAGAAGAAAGCTGGAAGTCACTGCTGGGTTTTAGGAAGGGAAAGGATAGGATCTGATTGAGTCTGCACAGGGTGGGAGGGGGAAGCAAGGAAATGCATCTGCATAAGTCTTGGAGGAAATGCAGAAGGCTTCCAAAGGGTGGTAGCAGATAGATTTAGCATGTATTTTGAAGTAGAGTCAACAGGGCTTAAAAATAATTTAACTTAATCTAGAATAATCCCATCCAATAGAAAAGTAATGCAAGCCACATATGAAATTTTAAATTTGCTAGAAGCCACATTTAAAAAAGAGGTGAAATTTATTTTAATGATATATTTTGCTTAATTCAATGTATCTAGAATATTTTTCCAACAAGTAAGCAATATAACACTTAATGAGAAATGTTAAAGGGGTTTTTTGTATAAGGTCATCAAAATACAGTGTATATTTTACGCTGAGAGCACATCTCAATTCAGACTAGCACATTTTAAGTCCTCAAAAATCACTGGTGGCTAGTGGCCCTATGCTGGCCAGTGCACAAGCCACCGAGGGTGTGTCCATTCAGCCTAGTTCACTGTTCTCTCCTGCAACTGAAACATTCAGGGACATACAGTGAGCATTTGATATATTTTGAATGAGCCCATGAATGCCTGGTTGGGGGGCGAGGGGCCCTATCAAAGGCAGTCTCTTGTGGGTGGGGATCAAAGCTTCCATTTTGGACTCATTCAGGCTGAGGTATCTATGAAATATCAAAGTAGAGAAGTCAAGAAAGGAAGTAGAAATGAGAGTCTGGGACCAAGAAGATCTGGGTGGAGATGTAAATGTGGCACTTTGATGGGTCCTCAGTCCAAAGGAGTCATGGTTGATTACCTTGGGAAAGAGCACAGAGAAAAGAAATGGCCCAAGACCTTACCCTCAGAGATACGAACATATCAACGTTGAGTGACAGAAGAAGAAAATGAGGGAAGTGTGGTGGTGCCAAGAAATCAAGAGTAAATGCTTTGAGGAGAAAGGAGTGGTCAACTGCTGAGAGGTCAGGTATTAAAAAAAAAAAAAAGAATAGGATCATTGAGACCTTAACAATGATCCTGCCACATTGTTTGTGGACTTTATAATACTTTAAAGCGTTCTTTATAATACTTTGGTGGAAGAGAGATTTTTATTTTTATTTATTTATTTATTTTAGTACAAAGAAATTTGGCCTCTAAAAGGTCAAGAAGCACAACCAATTTATGGAAGAACCAGCTCTAGGCCCTAAGACTCTTGGTCCAGCATTATTTACAGAACATATTTTAAAGTACTGGGAATAATAAGAAACCATGGAGATTTATAGAAAAAGCATGGCTTATCTGTGATTTCACCAGGTCTAGGTGTTTTGAGAATAAATGTACATTTGGCATCATCTTTCAAGTATGGAAGTAGACCAAGATTATGTGATTGGGATTTCTTGCAAGTTTCCTAAGTGCCCTCTGCTCTTTATTTAAATCACCAGGATTCTTACCACACTGTTCCTCATAGGACTCGGTTTCTCAACTTATCTTAGGCAATGCAGTAATACTGCTTCTGCAGTGCCTTAATATAAATTTATAACTTCATTCAGGATGAAGATTGTCTGCAAACATTTTTCAAGTGTGTTGTTATAGGTAAATTTCTTCGCTTCCTTTCAAAACACAGAAAGAATGAAATGATCTAGTTTAAACTCTATGGCTAAGTAGTTGCATGACCTTGAATAGGACTACCTTTTCTGTGCCTCACTGCTCTTATCTACAGAACAGGGGAGTTCAATCAGAGGATGTTTAGTTCTTAAAATAACATGATTTAATGGTATAGTGAATTAGGATTAACTCGGAGGAGATATTGAACCTCCAATTTAATCCGTGTGTGAAGATCATCCCAAAGGAAGTCAAGAAACCTAGGAACGAATTCCAAGGGCACCACCAGGTAGACATGTAATCATGGGACAAGGAATAACCTCACTTTCCCCATATGTTAATGGCATGATAAATCTGATCATCTCTCAGGGTTGTCTCAAGAACTGAACCAGGTAAGGTATATGTTTTATAATCTCTATAGTAGTAGAGAAATTAGAAGTGCAATTAAAGTGGATCTTTGAAACACTGTATACATTATCATTCCCAACAAGTACCGAGCTGAGTCCCCTGTTCCTTTTCTTCAGGGCATGTGACTTGTTACTTTTGCTGAGTTACAGGTTATGGTAGTGAAATACGCTCAAAGTGAGAAAGGAGACGACTGTCGAGTCTGGGTTAACTCAGACCTTTATAAGAACATAAGGGGATACACCAAAAAGAAACGAGAAAGGAGGAGGTAAGGAAGGAATTCGCGGGCAGGAGCAAAAGGCGAAGGCAAAGCCAAATTAGGGAAATTGAAGGTGAGTCCGAAGCAGCAGCATGCATTAGGAGGGCAAATGGGAAGCGCAGGGCAGGGACGGGAGCCAGTTAGACCAGGGGCAAGGGTGGTGGCGATTGAGCGGCTAGTCCGGCGACTTGCCAAAGCAGGCTCCGGGCGGAGGAGGGGAACGGGAGGGTGGGGCTTGGCGAAGAGCGAAGGCAGGGCAAGACTTAAAAGGGGGATGACCCCAGCTAGTTGATGCCTCCAGTGACTTCCGACGCCCAGGGCAAAGGGACCCCCAGGAGGGATCAGGCGGAAAAGGCCCGCCGCGGAGGCAGCCGGGGGCTTGCGAGGGAGGCGCACACACGCGACCGGGAGCCCCGGGGAGCGCCCAGAGGCCGCGCCACCATGTGCGAGCTGTACAGCAAGCAGGACACCCTGGAGCTGAGGAGGAAGCACATCGGGTGAGGGCTCCAAAGCCGCGAGGAGAGGCGCAAAGCGGGGAAAAAACTAGCGCAGGGGGCGTGAAGCCGCAGCCAGGGAGGTAGCGGCGAGCCGGACGGCGACAGGGCTGAGGCCGGCGGGGTGCACGCGAGAGGCCACCTCCCAGCCGCGCCGCACCTGCGCACGCGCGCCGCCGCTCGCCCCCCGCGCCCGCCCCGGGTGCCCGCCGCCCCTCCGCGCGCGCTGTCCGGGCGCTCCGCAGCCACCGGGCGCTTCGCAGCCACCGGGCGCTTGGGGGCTGCGGGCGGCGGGAAGAGTTGACCCGCGAGGGTTAATGCCCCAGGAGGGGAACTCCAGTCCAGGGATGGGCGCTGCGAGGGAAGCTGGGTAGCTCTCCGCCAAATCCCACCAACTCGAACATTCCTCCAAACTAGGAACTGAAAAAATATTTTCGATACTGGCTATGAACAGAAACGAATTCTGACAGCTTTTGCTAAAAGTGAACTTTTTCTTCTTCCATTTTTGGTTAGATAAAGGGCTAATCCAGGCAAGTTAAAAAAAAAAAAACAACAAAAAACAAAACAAAAAAAACCCCTTACAACCACTTTCTGAAGGGTAAAATGCCACTTACCCACCTTGGTCTCCCAAGCTGTGCCCTCAGTACAATGAAAAGGAGCAGTGTTCTCTCCAGTCTGCTTTTGCTTCGCCCGTGTTAGAAACGACTCGGTAGAAGACTGGTTAGAGCACGGGACTGAACGCGGAGTCTGGCCTGGGCTCTGGCCCTAGTAGGGTGTCTCGTTACCTGCGTGACCTCTGTCAGATTACTTTCATTTCCTCTTCTGTGGAAGTAGGAGTAACATTCTGCTTCACAGGAGCCAGCAAGGGAGATTAATAAGCGTTAATAATAACAATCTGGTTTTTAAAAAGGCACCTGTAAATATCAATGATGACTGTGGCCACTGTCAAGTCATAGGCCGGCAATAGTCACACGTAATTAACAAGCAGTGTCGCGGGTGAACGTGAGAGAGGACTGGGACATAAGAAAGAAAAGAACTGGTATTCTCTTCTGAGAAATACTAGGCGGCTGCTCCTACTCATCTCCTGGTCTCAACCCGGGAAGTTTCTAGATGGCCTTTTTGGAGACTGGCTGAGCTCTCTCACCTCCACGCAGGGAAAGCCAAAATGGTCCAATTCCTCCCTCATTACCCAGCCACCCCTTGTCCTTTTCTTTTTCTTTCTTTCTTTTTTTTTTTTTTAAGTATTTACTTGACAGAGAGCGATCACAAGCAGGCAGACAGAGATAGAGGAGGAAGCAGGCTCCCCGCTGAGCAGGGACCCTGATGCGGGACTCGGACCCTGATGCGGGACTCGGACCCTGATGCGGGACTCGATCCCAGGACCCCGAGATCATGACCTGAGCTGAAGGCAGAGGCCTTAACCCACTGAGCCACCCAGGTGCCCCCCCTTGTCCTTTTCTAATCACCACTCCATTCTGTTAGTTTTCAATCCTGCAATGTAGTTAGAGTCCAGTGCAAACCCAGTGATTTCCACTGTGAACTGAAGAAATTCTGTGAAGGGAGGAATATAAGCAGGGACAGCCTGAAAGAATTTTACCTGAAGTCTGAGTGGCGAGGTGGAAAATACCCTTAGCAAGAGAAGGTGAAGTCTGCAGTTCACAGCCCACATTCATGACAAAGGTTTGCTTTGGCTTTTAACTCAGAGGTGTAAACTAACAGCTGGGATTGAACCAATAAGAAATTCTCATTAAATATTGCTTCCCATTTTAACTGATGATGCTTAATCTGAGGCAATTTTAAATTAAGATTACCTATACACAATAGTTAAAATACCTTCTAAACACTTGCATATCAATTTAATATATAAACATTTAGTTACTCTCCAAAATACCTGCAACGCCTGTCACATATTTTTGTTTCTGCATGCAAAATCACCAAAATAAAAATAATATATTCCAGGGACGCCTGGGTGGCTTACTGGGTTAAGCACCTGCTTTAGCTCAGGTCATGATCCCAGGGTCCTGGGACAGATTCCCTCATGGAGCTCCTTGCTCAGCGGGGAACCTGATTCTCCCCCTGCTTGTGCTCTTTCTCTCTCTGTCAAATAAATAAATAAAGTCTTTAAGTAATAATAATAGTAATAATAAGTATCTATTACATTTTAGTTTCTACATGTCCGTAGGGCCAACATCAGAAAACTTTGTGATGGTTCTATGTTGCTAAGATTTATACTCCAGACATTCATCCAAATAACCAAAAATATGGATGACCTTTTATTTTGCTCTAAATAATGGATTAAGAGGTTAAAAGAATAATTGGATTTCATTATTTAAGAATTGAAAATCTCTTTGGTACAGGACAAATACCCTTCAAAAGACTTGGAAATGGTCTACTATAAAAATCTTTTTTATAGTATTTATTACCAATTTATTTATATTTAGCTCTCGGTGCTATTCATTTCTTTATCAATTAGATTACAAAGGGAGCAAGAGAAAGCAAGCAAACACTGTTTTGGGCTGCAGTATAGAACGGTCTACTTTCAAATTCTGTTTTTTTCCATTTCCTGGCTGTAATCTTGAACAAGTTTCTTGATTTTTCTGTGCCTCAGTTTCCTCACCTATAAAAATGAGAATGATAATAACCCCTATTTCATAGGATTATTGGCAGGATTAAATGAAATGATATTTGTAATATTTGTCAGGTCCTGACACATCATAAACCTCAAAAAAAAGTTTGTTTGTTTGTTTCATTTTCTGGTAGAACAAAACGTCCCAGAGGAATATTAGTTATTGGTTTGTGTAATTAGAATTGTCAGAGTGAACCCAGGTGCCTCTAAACAGTTGTCAAATCATGGCAAATTTAATATAACAAACATACGAAATGTGAGCAGGGTCACCAATGGGGGATTAAGGTAAAAGTTTCCAGGCTAATATGAAATTAAAAAAAATAATAATAATAACGTATGTCACCCAGGTTGTGTTTTCCCTTTCCTTTATGTAGCTATAAATTTCCACTGATCATGACCTTCATTGAGAAGGAAAAACACTGAGCAGTTCTTCCAGATCAAAGTGTTTCCTTTCCTTATTTCTAGACCCTCATGCAAAGTTTTTTTTGCTGAGGATCCCATCAAAATAGTGCAAGCCCAACGCCAGTACATGTTTGACGAGAGAGGAGACCGGTACCTGGACTGCATCAACAATGTGGCCCACGGTAAGTATCCTGTCTCTGTTGCGCTTGGAAGGGTACATTTGTGGACTGGGGCAGACATGGCACCACTAATATCTGCCCCGGGAGGTACAGGGGCTGCTGTTCCTTGGCTGGACGGGCCCATAGTCCTAGCCCAGAACAGGTTAACAGCACAGTATGGGGAGAAAGAAGCTCATCTTTTTCCCCCCCTTGCTTCAGAATATCACCAACTTCCCGGGAATTTAGAATCCTCATTCCTTTTCTGGGTTTTTGTCTTCTGCATTTTAGTGGGACACTGTCATCCAGAAGTGGTCAAGGCTGCCGTGAAGCAAATGGAGCTGCTAAACACGAATTCTCGATTCCTTCACGACAATATCGTGGAGTACGCCAGGCGCCTTGTAGCAACCCTGCCGGAGGAACTCTCTGTTTGCTATTTTACCAACTCAGGGTATGTTTCCAGCTCCCCCCCGCCCCGACCCCATTCCCCCCAATCTGTTTTTATACGCCCCCACACATACCTTTCTTCTTGATTTCCTGGGGGAGCCCAGACATCTCAGGTTTCCGGAGATTCTTGCCATTTACTAAGTGACCACACGATGGGGCCCTGATGGTTCTGTTTTTTGGCTTTACTTCCTGAGCTTGTGGTCGATAGGCTCTCCAACAGTGTGTCCTAGGGGATTGACCCAGCCACTGATGATTAACGTGAGCGTGCCATTCAACTCCTTATGACTGTGGCTTCCTTGGAGAGAGATGGGGAAAGAGTACTTAGCATGCTTTACTATCTCTGAAGGTTAGATACTTGGGTGGTAACTATGGCAAAAATATCCAAGCCTGGGGTTCCTAAGATAAAACCTAACCTGTCAGATGGCTCTCACCTCCTCAGGAAGTAGAGTAAGTAGCTAAAGAATCAGTGGGCCTCCGTAGTTTCTTTAAGGCATGAATGAGGGGTTTTACAAAAGAAGAATTCTACTGAACAAGCTGTAACTTCTGTAAGACTTTTGATTGACTTGTTTCTTAGGCAATTTCCTCAACACAAATACAAAAAAGGAAGGAGTAAGTTCAAAAGAATGGATATGTTCCAACTTTTAAATTCTGTAAATTCAAGTTATATATCCATTTTGTGGGATATTATGCAGACCTTAAAAATATGTTTTTGGAAATACACGTCTACTGACGTGAAAAGCTTGCAACGCAACTTTATATTGGGATTTCCTCTGTGCATACAGTGTACACTTGTATTTTTGAAATTAAGTATAAGTGGATTAAAACTATTGGAAATTCTGTAAATGTTTGATTCTGTGATTCTGTGATTCACTTCTGTCTTTGCAATGAGATTTTAAAACCAAGTTTAAAGATCGTCCCTTTTTCTTAGTAAAGAGTTAAGGTATTTTAGGATCTAATTTATTGTTATAAAGCATCTTTGCCTTCAATAAATTAAATACCATCATATTTGACTTTCACTTCTAAAGAATCCTATACTGTCAAAGGGGGATTGCCCCAAAGACTGTCCCCAGAGACTGGAGATGATAGAATCTGGGCAAGTACAGAGAATAATCTTGAAGTTAAACAGACTTTGGTCTGAATGCTGGCTCTATCTCTTAGTAGCTGTGAGAACTTACTCTGCCTCATTAACCTCTCTGAGTCTCTTTCTTCATCCACAAAAAGGAGAGGGCAGCACTTGCCTTGCAAAGGAGTTAGGAGAATAAATGCATGATGTTGGGCGGATAATAAACATCCCACTTGTGATTATTTTCTTCTGTGTCTGACTCGTGTCTTTAGGCTGTGTAAACCAGATAGAAAATTATGAGCCTTATTTTGTCCATAAGGAGCTCATCCCGTATTGGGTCAGTGCAACATAGTTCAGAGGTCTGTTAATGGGCTCTCGTTCTCCCGTTCCTCCCTTCAAGATCAGGCTTAATGTGGGCTTCCTAACATCCTCGAAGTCAGACCCTACTCACGCGGCTGAGTTGGGCGGAAGTCTGAAATGAGCAGCGTATCCTTTGCACCAGGTTTCTTCTCTGTGTTTCATTCTTTTTTTTTTTTTTGATTTTTTTTTTTTATTAATTTTACTTTTTTTTAAACATATAATATCTTTTTATCCCCAGGGGTACAGGTCTGTGAATCGCCAGGTTTACACACTTCACAGCACTCACCATAGCACATACCCTCCCCAATGTCCATAATCCCACCCCCCCCAACCCCCTCCCCCCATTAACCCTCAGTTTGTTTTGTGAGATTAAGAGTCACTTATGGTTTGTCTCCCTCCCAATCCCATCTTGTTTCATTTATTCTTCTCCTACACCCTTAACCCCCCATGTTGCATCTCCTCTCCCTCATATCAGGGAGATCGTATGATAGTTGTCTTTCTCCGATTGACTTATTTCGCTAAGCATGATACCCTCTAGTTCCATCCACGTCGTCGCAAATGGCAAGATTTCATTTCTTTTGATGGCTGCATAGTATTCCATTGTGTATATATACCACATCTTCTTTATCCATTCGTCTGTTGATGGACATCTAGGTTCTTTCCATAGTTTGGCTATTGTAGACATTGCTGCTATAAACATTCGGGTGCACGTGCCCCTTCGGATCACTACGTTTGTATCTTTAGGGTAAATACCCAGCAGTGCAATTGCTGGGTCATAGGGTAGTTCTATTTTCAACATTTTGAGGAACCTCCATGCTGTTTTCCAGAGTGGTTGCACCAGCTTGCATTCCCACCAACAGTGTAGGAGGGTTCCCCTTTCTCCGCATCCTCGCCAGCATCTGTCATTTCCTGACTTGTTAATTTTAGCCATTCTGACTGGTGTGAGGTGGTATCTCATTGTGGTTTTGATTTGTATTTCCCTGATGCCGAGTGATGTGGAGCACTTTTTCATGTGTCTGTTGGCCATCTGGATGACTTTGCAGAAATGTCTGTTCATGTCTTCTGCCCATTTCTTGATTGGATTATTTGTTCTTTGGGTGTTGAGTTTGCTAAGTTCTTTATAGATTTTGGACACTAGCCCTTTATCCGATATGTCATTTGCAAATACCTTCTCCCATTCTGTCAGTTGTCTTTTGGTTTTGTTAACTGTTTCCTTTGCTGTGCAAAAGCTTTTGATCTTGATGAAATCCCAATAGTTCATTTTTGCCCTTGCTTCCCTTGCCTTTGGCGATGTTCCTAGGAAGATGTTGCTGCGGCTGAGGTCGAAGAGGTTGCTGCCTGTATTCTCCTCAAGGATTTTGATGGATTCCTTTCTCACATTGAGATCCTTCATCCATTTTGAGTCTATTTTCGTGTGTGGTGTAAGGAAATGATCCAATTTCATTTTTCTGCATGTGGCTGTCCAATTTTCCCAACACCATTTGTTGAAGAGGCTGTCTTTTTTCCATTGGATATTCTTTCCTGCTTTGTCGAAGATTAGTTGACCATAGAGTTGAGGGTCTATTTCTGGGCTCTCTATTCTGTTCCATTGATCTATGTGTCTGTTTTTGTGCCAGTACCATGCTGTCTTGATGATGACAGCTTTGTAATAGAGCTTGAAGTCCGGAATTGTGATGCCACCAACTTTGGCTTTCTTTTTCAATATTCCTTTGGCTATTCGAGGTCTTTTCTGGTTCCATATAAATTTTAGGATTATTTGTTCCATTTCTTTGAAAAAAATGGATGGTACTTTGATAGGAATTGCATTAAATGTGTAGATTGCTTTAGGTAGCATAGACATTTTCACAATATTTATTCTTCCAATCCAGGAGCATGGAACATTTTTCCATTTCTTTGTGTCTTCCTCAATTTCTTTCATGAGTACTTTATAGTTTTCTGTGTATAGATTCTTAGTCTCTTTGGTTAGATTTATTCCTAGGTATCTTATAGTTTTGAGTGCAATTGTAAATGGGATGGACTCCTTAATTTCTCTTTCTTCTGTCTTGTTGTTGGTGTAGAGAAATGCAACTGATTTCTGGGCATTGATTTTATATCCTGACACTTTACTGAGTTCCTGTAAAAGTTCTAGCAGTTTTGGAGTGGAGTCTTTTGGGTTTTCCACATATAGTATCATATCATCTGCGAAGAGTGATAGTTTGACTTCTTCTTTGCCAATTTGGATGCCTTTAATTTCCTTTTGTTGTCTGATTGCTGAGGCTAGGACTTCTAGTACTATGTTGAATAGCAGTGGTGATAACGGACATCCCTGCCGTGTTCCCGACCTTAGCGGAAAAGCTTTCAGTTTTTCTCCATTGAGAATGATATTTGCGGTGGGTTTTTCATAGATGGCTTTGATAATATTGAGGTATGTGCCCTCTATCCCTACACTTTGAAGAGTTTTGATCAGGAAGGGATGCTGTACTTTTTCAAATGCTTTTTCAGCATCTATGGAGAGTATCATATGGTTCTTGTTCTTTCTTTTATTAATGTGTTGTATCACATTGATTGATTTGCAGATGTTGAACCAACCTTGCAGCCCTGGAATAAATCCCACTTGGTCGTGGTGAATAATCCTTTTAATGTACTGTTGAATCCTATTGGCTAGTATTTTGGCGAGAATTTTTGCATCTGTGTTCATCAAGGATATTGGTCTGTAGTTCTCTTTTTTGATGGGATCCTTGTCTGGTTTGGGGATCCAGGTGATGCTGGCCTCATAAAATGAGTTTGGAAGTTTTCCTTCCATTTCTATTTTGTGGAACAGTTTCAGGAGAATAGGAATTAGTTCTTCTTTAAATGTTTGGTAGAATTCCCCCGGGAAGCCATCTGGCCCTGGGCTTTTGTTTGGAGATTTTTGATGACTGTTTCAATCTCCTTACTGGTTATGGGTCTGTTCAGGCTTTCTCTTTCTTCCTGGTTCAGTTGTGGTAGTTTATATGTCTCTAGGAATGCATCCATTCCTTCCAGATTGTCAAATTTGTTGGCGTAGAGTTGCTCATAGTATGTTCTTATAATTGTCTGTATTTCTTTGGTGTTAGTTGTGGTCTCTCCTCTTTCATTCATGATTTTATTTATTTGGGTCCTTTCTCTTTTCTTTTTGATAAGTCTGGCCAGGGGTTTATCGATCTTATTAATTCTTTCAAAGAACCAGCTCCTAGTTTCGTTGATTTGTTCTATTGTTTTTTTGGTTTCTATTTCATTGATTTCTGCTCTGATCTTTATGATTTCTCTTCTCCTGCTGGGTTTAGGGCTTCTTTCTTGTCCTTTCTCCAGCTCCTTTAGGTGTAGGGTTAGGTTGTGTACCTGAGACCTTTCTTGTTTCTTGAGAAAGGCTTGTACCGCTATATATTTTCCTCTCAGGACTGCCTTTGTCGTGTCCCACAGATTTTGAACCGTTGTGTTTTCATTATCATTTGTTTCCATGAATTTTTTCAACTCTTCTTTAATTTCCTGGTTGACCCATTCATTCTTTAGAAGGATGCTGTTTAGTCTCCATGTATTTGGGTTCTTTCCAAATTTCCTCTTGTGATTGAGTTCTAGCTTCAGAGCATTGTGGTCTGAAAATATGCAGGGAATGATTCCAATCTTTTGATAACGGTTGAGACCTGATTTAGGACCGAGAATATGATCTATTCTGGAGAATGTTCCATGTGCACTAGAGAAGAATGTGTATTCTGTTGCTTTGGGATGAAATGTTCTGAATATATCTGTGATGTCCATCTGGTCCAGTGTGTCATTTAAGGCCTTTATTTCCTTGTTGATCTTTTGCTTGGATGATCTGTCCATTTCAGTGAGGGGAGTGTTAAAGTCCCCTACTATTATTGTATTATTGTCGATGTGTTTCTTTGATTTTGTTATTAATTGGTTTATATAGTTGGCTGCTCCCACGTTAGGGGCATAGATATTTAAAATTGTTAGATCTTCTTGTTGGACAGTTCCTTTGAGTATGATATAGTGTCCTTCCTCATCTCTTATTATAGTCTTTGGCTTAAAATCTAATTGATCTGATATAAGGATTGCCACTCCTGCTTTCTTCTGATGTCCATTAGCATGGTAAATTCTTTTCCACCCCCTCACTTTAAATCTGGAGGTGTCTTCAGGTTTAAGATGAGTTTCTTGTAGGCAACATATAGATGGGTTTTGTTTTTTTTATCCATTCTGATACCCTTTGTCTTTTGATTGGGTCATTTAGCCCATTAACATTCAGGGTAAGTATTGAGAGATATGAATTTAGTGCCATTGTATTGCCTGTAAGGTGACTGTTATTGTATATTGTCTCTGTTTCTTTCTGATCTACTACTTTTAGGGTCTCTCTTTGCTTAGAGGACCCCTTTCAATATTTCCTGTAGAGCTGGTTTGGTATTTGCAAATTCTTTCAGTTTTTGTTTGTCCTGGAAGCTTTTAATCTCTCCTTCTATTTTCAATGATAGCCTAGCTGGATATAGTATTCTTGGCTGCATGTTTTTCTCGTTTAGTACTCTGAATATATCATGCCAGCTCTTTCTGGCCTGCCAGGTCTCTGTGGATAAGTCTGCTGCCAATCTAATATTTTTACCATTGTACGTTACAGACTTCTTTTCCCGGGCTGCTTTCAGGATCTTCTCTTTGTCACTAAGACTTGTAAATTTTACTATTAGGTGACGGGGTGTGGACCTATTCTTATTGATTTTGAGGGGGGTTCTCTGAATCTCCTGGATTTTGATGCTTGTTCCCTTTGCCATATTGGGGAAATTCTCTCCAATAATTCTCTCCAATATACCTTCTGCTCCCCTCTCTGTTTCCTCTTCTTCTGGAATCCCAATTATTCTAATGTTGTTTCGTCTTATGGTGTCACTTATCTCTCAAATTCTCCCCTCGTGGTCCAGTAGCTGTTTGTCCCTCTTTTGCTCAGCTTCTTTATTCTCTGTCATTTGGTCTTCTATATCGCTAATTCTTTCTTCTGCCTCATTTATCCTAGCAGTGAGAGCCTCCATTTTTGATTGCACCTCATTAATAGCTTTTTTGATTTCAACTTGGTTAGATTTTAGTTCTTTTATTTCTCCAGAAAGGGCTTTTATATCTCCTGAGAGGGTTTCTCTAATATCTTCCATGCCTTTTTCGAGCCCGGCTAGAACCTTGAGAATCGTCATTCTGAACTCTAGATCTGACATATTACCAATGTCTGTATTGATTAGGTCCCTAGCCTTTGGTACTGCCTCTTGTTCTTTTTTTTTGTGGTGAATTTTTCCGCCTTGTCATTTTGTCCAGATAAGAGTAGATGAAGGAGCAAGTAAAATACTAAAAGGGTGGCAACAACCCCAGGAAAATATGCTTTAGCCAAATCAGAAGAGATCCCAAATCATGATGGGGGAGAAAGGGATAAAAAGAGGTTCAGAAAGAAAAAAAAAAAAAAGAAAAAAAAAGAAACAATTAAAAAAAGAAAAGGAATAATGAAAAAATATAAAAAAGAAAAAAATATATATATTAGATAAACTAGTTAAAAAACGTTAAAAAAGAAAAGGGTAAAAGTTAAAAAAATTTAGCAGAAGAAGAAAAATAAATTGAAAAAGAAAAAAAATTAAATTAACTGCAAGGCTAAAGAATCATGGGGAGAAAGCCATGAGTTCCGTGCTTTGCTTTCTCCTCCTTTGGAATTACGCTGCTCTCCTTGGTATTGAAACTGTACTCCTTGGTAGGTGAACTTGATCCTGGCTGGGCTTCTTGTTGATCTTCTGGGGGAGGGGCCTGTTGTAGTGATTCTCGAGTGTCTTTGCCCCGGGCAGAGTTGCACCGCCCTTACCAGGGGCCGGGCTGAGTAATCTGCTCGGGTTTGCTTTCGGGAGCTTTTGTTCCCTGAGTGCTCTCCGTAGAGTTCCGGAGGGCGGGAATGAAGATGGCGGCCTCCCGGTCTCCGGCCCGGAGGAGCCGAGAGCCCGGGGCCCCACTCCTCAGTGCGCCCTCAGAGAACAGCGCCGATTTACTCCCGTCACCCTGCCTCCGGCCGCGCTCCGAGCTGACCGAGCCTGCGACCGGTTCAAGGTAACCCCGAGCTTAGAGCTTACTCCTCGGCTCTGTCTCTGTAGCCGGCTTCCCTGTTCTAATACTTGTAAGCTCTGCGACACTCAGACACCCCTGATCCTTCTGTGACCCTGCGGGACCTGAGGCCACGCTGACCCTGCGTGGGCTTCACCCCGGTTAAGCCTCTGGAGCGATGTCCCTCAGCGGAACAGACTTTTAAAAGTCCTGATTTTGTGCTCCGTTGCTCCGCCGCTTGCCGGGAGCCGGCCCCTCCCCCTGCGGTCTATCTTCCCGTCGCTTTGGATTCACTTCTCCGCCCGTCCTACCTTTCAGAAAGTGGTTGATTTTCTGTTTCTAGAGTTGCTGTTCTTCTTCTCTTCGATCTCCCGTTGGATTTGTAGGTGTTTGCAATCTTTAGATAAGCTATCTAGCTGATCTCCCGCTACCTGAAGTAGTCTCAGCCTGCTACTTCTCCGCCATCTTGACTCCTCCTGTGTGTTTCATTCTTTATTGAAGACATCTGGGGAACTTGTATGAGAAGGATGAAGTGAGACTGCTGGGGGTGGGGGCAGACTAAAGGGCAAAGAGAGGACTTGTACTTATTTCTCCCCTACATTTCTGAAAAACTGGGATCTTACAACTTTTGTAATTAACATTTTGAAATATTTTGAAAAGGACTTACGTCACCTTGACCCCTCTCTGTGTTCTCTTAATAGATCTGAAGCCAATGATTTGGCCTTACGCTTGGCTCGGCAGTTCAGAGACCACCAAGATGTGATCACTCTTGACCAGTAAGTTTGGGATGTAAGACTTCTAAACAAGAAGCTCCTTCAAGAGACAAAATTGTATCGATCCTGTCCGTGCTGATACTACAAGCACTCGGGGAGGAGGGCAGATATATGGCACCATGATTTTATTGTGTACCAAGGTATCAAGGCCAGCCAAACCCTAAAGAATACTTAATTCCATCAAATTCCTGCAAACGGGGGAGTCTCTCTTGAATGCTATGACCGTGGCCTCATGGACTTTGCCTGAATCACTGACCGTTTATTGAGCCTCACTAATGAGTAACTCAGTATTTTCCAAATAAAAATATAATTAATTTCTTCAGACTCTATACGTTCACATCACCATTGTGATGACCCACTGTAATCAATTCGAAAGATAACAATGTAGAGCAAATTTTGAAGAAAATAAGAAACCAAGTAAAAGATAGTCCTTTCTCGTTCGTTTGCAACAATTACCAGCCATTATTGAATTTCATCTCCTTAACGTGACTTCATTCCATTTTAAACAAGAAAGCTAACAACCCCATCTTTAAGATTTTTTCTTTTAATTTTCTTCCTACTTCTCCACCCCACTCATCTCAGTCACAGAGGGTTAAATTGAGCACATACCTCATTTCTCGCCCTTATATAGGCTTCTCTTGTTTTATGTGTTGGGTCATATATTCACTTTCTTTCCTGCCTTAACACATTACCACAAATGTAGTGGCTTAAGCAACACAAATTTATTTCCTCACAGTTCTGTACAACAGAAACCCAAAATGGGTCTTCACTGGGCCAAAATAAAGATGTCAACGGGACCGTGCTCCTTCTGGAGGCTTCTTCTGTTTCCTTGCCTTACCCAGCTTGCAGAGGCTGTCTGCGCAGGGGTCCCCTCTTTGGAGCAACCATTCCACCAGTCCTAACATGGCCCCCATCCTCACCTCGCTTCCCCTGCCTCTGACTACCGTCCTGCTGCCTCTTCCTTTCACCTGTAAAGACTCCTGTGATTCCACTGAACTCCCCACCCCCCAGGATTATCTCTCTATCTCAAGATTCTTAATTTAATCAAACCTGCAAGACCCCTTTGCCATATGACATATTCCTAGGTTCTCGGGACCAGAATTCATATTCTTTGCCCATTTTTCTGTTGGGATTCCCTTCTGTTTCTTGATGGTTTGTGTTTGCTTATACAGTCTAGATCAAAAGATCTCAAACTTGACTGTGTCTTAAAATTATCTGGGAAAAAAATTCTTTAAGTTCCAGTGCCCAGGCCCCACCCTAGACCAATTAAAAAAAATCAGGGGTGGATCCCAGGAAACAGTATGTATTTTTAAGTTTCCCAAGTGATTCCCAAGTTTCCCAAGTGATGCAGACCAAGTTGAGAATGGCCATTGTAAGCATTAATCTCTTTAAGTTTGAAACATTTCAAATATCTTTTCCCACTGTATCATCTGTCTTTTAGCTTTGTCCATGGTATCCTTCAACTGAAATCTTTAATTTTAATCAAATCAAAAAGATAACATTCTCATTGTATAGTTTATGTGTTCTATGTTTTGTTAATATCGCTCCCCCTACACGGACCACACCCCCCCCCCAGATCACAAAGATGTTTTCTTCTTTTTCTTCTCCTGCCTCTGTGAAATCCACCAGGTGTCCACTGCATTAACATTTATGTGTGGAGGTGTCTCTGAGCTGGTGTCTGTCCCAGTCTTCTCTTTGTTCTCATTCTGATACATACTTACTGTCACATACATATCATTCTCATACTTACTATGGTTCTGTAGCATCTTTAATTTTGTTAAGGGAAGTCCTCTCTGTTTTATCTGTTTGTGGACTTTTAAAAATTTCTTTTCCAGATCTCCCACTTATGCCTCTGAGCAAGAAACAGAAAACTGTATTTTAAGCAAGAGAAAGAAACCTCACAGTCACTTGGTCACCTCTCAATCTTAGTTCTTCCTGAAGAGATCTTTTGCTCTTAACAAGCTGTATTTGTCCAGCATATGCAATCCGACATCCCACAGAAACGATTCCTGACAGAAACACAACCCATTCTGTGATAAAAAGTTGATTTTAAAATTCACCTGAATATAACTGTCAAATACATTTAAAGAATACATACTTAGCAATTTTCCGTGAATCTATAGAAAATAATTTTTGTCTAATAAAAAATTAGACACTCTAATTCAGCACATGTAATATCATCCTAAGAAATTAAGTTTTCTTTTCCTGCTTAAAAAAAAAGTCTATGAGGATCCATACTTGGTTTCCTCTGTGTTTTATTACATGATTAAGGAGAACTGGACAAATGAAGTGGCCAGTCTTGCCACAAAGAACTAGATCCTTTACAGTTAAATCTGGCACTAAGGTTAAGATTCTTCTAGATGATACACATTATTGTTTTTCATATACTACAAAAACTCCCTTCTCTGAATGATTTTGGTTACTGTCCTTTTTCTTTTCAGCGCTTATCATGGCCACCTGTCCTCTTTAATTGAGATCAGTCCATATAAATTCCGGAAGGGCAAAGATGTCAAGAAAGCATTTGTGCATGTGGTGCGTATCTTAGAGTCCAAGAATCAGAAAGCTGGTTCTGGAAGAATGCCTAATGATATAATCCAGCTCAATCCTTTCATCAAAATGGAACTGTGAAAAAGAAACTAAGATCTAGAGCAGTTATGCGACTTAGCACAGTCGAAAAGCTAGTCAATGACAGAATGTTGTTTAAAATCCACTGATGAGTTTTCACAATCAACTTAGTGTGGTGGTAGCGAAGGCTGTTATTCACAGCTATCATTTTATTTTGGTCTTCAGTTTCTTTTCCTGTCTACTGATGCCAGCTTGAGATTTGGAGTTGAATCTAGTGTGTATGAATATCTCAAAATTAAACTGCTCTATGCTAAAGCATTATGTAGAGTTATGAAGTAAAATAAATAATAAAGAAAATAGAGAAACCAGTCAAGTTGTTTTTGAAACATTAAAACTCTGGCAGTTTAATTAAGGATCAGTAGACTTTAAGAGAATCGTCAATTCCTTCTTTCAAAATGATAAGACCTGGCATCAGTACTAAGGCATTCTAGTGTTTGCAATGATTACAATTTGCTATAGAGTTGGTAAGTGTTGTATTATTTTCGGTGTAGAATAGTTAATACAATGTTCATCCCTTGAAACTTTCAAATACGATAATCACACTTATGGATGTGAATTTGCTCTTGATTCGAATAGGGATGCAGTCTTGACTTATAAAGGTCTAGGAGCAAATCCAAGTTCCTGTTCATGATACCAAGGTCTTGGTTTTCACAGAATTCAGAAATGTTAAGGAAACAGAACGAAAAAACCTAGAGTCACTTAAACTCACATAATCACCTTTCCAATATGCTCTTGTGGGGAAATGCCTTTTTTTTTAGAGTTCATTTGTCCCAGAAGTAGATATTTTCACAGTACTTTTTAAAAAAGGTTTTATTTATTTGTCAGAGAGATAGAGAGAGAGTGAAAGCACAAGCAGAGGGAGAGGCAGACAGAGGTAAAAGCAGGCTCCCAGCTGAGCAAGAAGCCCAATGTGGGGCTTGATCCCAAGACCCTGGGATCATCCTTCTTTGCCGTAGATCTTAAGAAACTACCATTTGGTTGTTTCCAGGCACCAACTCCAGATACTTACAGAGGCAAATACAGAGAAGATCATGCAGACCCAGCCAGCGCTTATGCAGATGAAGTAAAGGAAATTATTAAAGAAGCTCATAACAATGGAAGGAAGGTTTGTATTTACAGCTTTGGAAACAGCTTACCATCTTTTGTAAAGAGGATCCAAATCACTGTGACACATTGGCGAGGTGGAAAAGGATTAGATCTCAATTCCTTTCTGTTTATTTCTGCTTACATTTCACTTGGTTTGTTTCTCAAAAAGTGCATTATTATGATCAAGCCACTAAGACTATCTATTTTTATTTATTCTGGAAACGCAATCACTATGCCTGTTTTAGAACTGGTGGCCTAATTTCTCACTTTCCCAGTGGGATGCAAACTCTGCCCCGAAGAGGTACGGGAGAGGCCCATGGACAGACTCTTCCAAATGAAAATACCATGGGGTAGGGGAGTGATATAAGAGGAAGGGAAGGGAAGAGGCCCAGTGGCCCTGGGGCCTTTGAACCAATGCAGGCTCCCAGGCCCAGGAAGCCTTGCTGCCTCCCTTGAACTAGTACAACTTTCCTGAAGCTGCAGAGCCTGCGTTAGCCAAGGCAGAGCAAATGTTTCCCCAACCTGAGCTGGGCTTCAAAGACAGAACCAGAATCCTCCACAGTAAGAAGAAGAGTTTCCATTTTTTCAGTCTTCACCCTACTCTCTTCAGCTTAACATAAATTTCCAGCCTGTTTGGGGGTTACTCATGTGGAGTTTTAAAGTGACTGGACACATGTTTTGCCTTTAAACTGGCTTATGGCATAAACAGGGAAATTAAAAAAAATTTTAATGAGATAAAAATGAAGACTTTACTTTTTCCAATGTAAATATTTTTATCCTAGTGACTGGAGAGTCATTTGCATATCTCCAGATGTGACATCTGTGTAGCTGGCCCTCAGTGCTCCCTGTTATGGGGACCTTCATATGCCTTTCTTCTTCAAGGGCAGCCCATCCCTCCTTACACGAATGGTAGAGAGTGCTTCCAGGAAAAAAACAAAACAAAACAAAACAAAAACTTTACATTACCAAGATCACATGGGTTTTTTTTGCTGCTAAAAGGGTATGGATAACTTTTTGAGAACATTAACATCCAGTAGTTATGGACCCGATGCTGTCCTGTTAACAATGCTGAAAGCAATGAGAAAATAAAAGATGGGTGCTTCAGAATAATAGATGTGCTTACAAAGTCGGAGGAGTTTAGAGAAGCAATCTCGTAAGTCCAGTGGCTTCATTTTATAGCTACTAAATGAAATATTTAAAAGTGAAGAACTTAAGCCGAGGTAGTACAGTTACTGAGATGTAGTCTGGATGAAAACCTCTGTTCTCTTGACTTCCTGTCTCATCTTGTCTGTGCGTTCTCTTCTTGGTTCGTTGTCACCTATTTTCTACTCCTCCTTTCTTCCCCTCTAGAGCATTTCCTCTGCAATTCCTCTTGTGAATTGCCTGATTCCGTTAAGTCCGGTTCAGGGTAAGAACTAGAAATACAGCTCAGTAACTAATGCGTGTGGCCCACAGTCACCCTCCTCTTTTCCCAGAGCAAATTCCAGGCTCAGGCTGTCCTCATCACCCAGCTGGGGAAACAGGCACCATGGTAATGGGTTTAGTACCTGGGTAATTTTTTTAGAAGATTGTGTCGAAGACGGATCAAAACATCATTTTTGTTCAGTTGATCCTAATGAAAACACTGCATTTGAATTAATAATGGGGAACCGGAGGTTGCCCTCTCCTCCGTTTCTCACACAGTGGTTTCACCGGTACTCTAGAATTTCAGAAACGGATGAATTTCAGATCAGTTGCTTTTCCAGCACAGACATCTATCTCTTCTTGTCTTTGTCACCACATGGCCTATTTGCCTCTTGCCATGGGGCCATTCCCAACCATCTTGCAAATAACCTGCTCTGTAAGAAGTCCTCTTTTTTAGGGTGTTCAAGGGGGACCTAATGGACTTTGACCCCATCTTCTCTTGTATAGATTGCTGCCTTTATTGCTGAATCCATGCAGAGTTGTGGCGGACAAATAATCCCTCCAGCAGGCTACTTCCAGAAAGTGGCAGAGTATGTACCTGACTTGGGCTCTCTGGGTCGAACTGAAGTCTTGGTGACAGTTCTGCAAGGCCGTCCTGGTTAAAATATCAAAGTACTTCCGGACTAGCTGGCAAATAGCCACTTCGGCATACCTGCCACACCAGGACTCCCCAGAACCTCTCCACCTTCCCAAGATCCAGCAAATAAAGCGTTTATATGTGTTCCGGCAGGGGGGGCCTCCGGGGCTCTGCTCCAGTCCCCAGCCTGGCATCCTTTCTGGCTGGTGCCCATGCTTTACCAATAAGTAAACATTTGAAGACTAAGCCTGCTAAACACTACTTCTTGTTCATGTCTTTCTCTTCCCACTTAAAATGCCATAGTAGGGCTTACTCAAAGCAGCACAAAACTGAATAATAAGAACATGTCTACTCTGGAAAGTGTGTGATTATATTTCAAAGTCAGTGACATCATGCAGATGTCACTGGGGATTTGAGCACAGAAATGGTTTTGACAACTATTTCCAAACCTCAAGTTAACAACATTTTTTTATTCCTCCATAATCTGTATCTTTGTGGGTGGGTTTGGGGATTCTTGGTGACCTGAAGACCCAAGATTTCCCTTTTGCTTTTCAGATATGTCCACAGAGCAGGAGGTGTGTTTATAGCTGATGAAGTTCAGGTGGGCTTTGGTCGAGTTGGAAAACATTTCTGGAGCTTCCAAATGCACGGAGAAGATTTTGTTCCAGATATTGTCACAATGGGAAAACCAATGGGCAATGGTCACCCAATGGCATGCGTGGTAACAACCAAAGAAATCGCAGAAGCCTTCAGCAGTTCTGGGATGGAATATTTCAATACGGTAAATGTTGGCCTCCCGACTTATGCTAAGAAGGAAAAATACTGTGTTCTTACACTTCTTGCCATTGTAGTAAAGAATAAAGAATAAGGTTCAGTATTGCCAGCTAACCACCCCAGGTCCTCAGCCAGACTTCGATCTAACCGTATTTCATCCTATCTGGCATAATTCTCCTTGTATTTTTCCCTGTGTTTCTTTCCCCTTTCTAGAATGATTAATTGTTCCAGTGATAAATGGTTGCCTTGCTCAACTCTAGAGGTTATGATGTTTCACCCACAGATGATATGATCTTCTTTATTTTATATCACATTTAAATTCCCCAAACATTTCCAAAGTGTTTAGATGATACAGTACTATAAATGTTATATGGCTGTCACAGGAGATACTAAATTTTTTTATCTTTAGGAAGTTTTATTTCCTTGGTTTTACCTCCCAAAAGTCGTGAACTTTAAGCTTGGAAAAAATTATTATAGTTTGTGCTGTATGTGTCATAGGACTTGTGACAACTAAAAGTAAGAATCAAATCTAAGGACATAAATTATTTGTAGAAAATGTCCTTGCTTTGCTGTTTTCACATAACTGTTCAGGTACAGAAGCCCGTATCCCCCTCACTGAACCATACTCTGAAATCCTTAGCTCCCAATGCAGTGTCTGGTTTTTGTTTGGTTGGACTAATAAATTCCCTGATAGTCCTCCATACCAGTCATGCAGCATGGAAAATATAATTTGGAATGAATTTTTACTCAGTCATAAACAAATAAAATCACATTTATATTCTAAATCTAAAAAGTTTACAACACAAGGGAAAAATTATTGAAATTATATCTCTACCTGCTTATGTATGAGCCAAATTTCTCATGGATGAAGCAATACCACTAATTCAACCATTATGGTTTTTTAACCTTTTTTCTACAGTACGGAGGAAATCCAGTATCTTCTGCTGTTGGTTTGGCTGTCCTGAATATAATTGAAAATGAAGACCTTCAAGGAAATGCCATTAGAGTAGGGGATTATCTTACCAAGTTACTCAATAAACAGAAGGCTAAACATACTTTGATAGGAGAGATCAGGTATGTTTATCATGAATGTGTCATGTGGTTATTCATTTTTCCAATGAAAATAGCTTAAATTTGGTCTTATAAATTTAAAATAAATTACATGAAACTAAATCTAGAAAACATTGAAAAACATTAAAAAAACCCCAAAAACTCGTTCTTAATCCAGAACACTGATATCACCACTGTTAACTTTTGGGTGTATATCTTTCTCAATTTTATACTTAAAAAAAAAAATACTTAAAAAGTACTTAAAAAGAATAAAGTAAAGAGAAAAAAACTGGATGACAAATCAAATCCAGCTTCAAATTAAACTGAAGTTGGGGGACAGTGTTAGTATTTTATGACAATTCAGTGTCTGAGAGAGCATCTGTCAAGTTTTCTTTCTTTACCTTCCTCAGAGGCATTGGCCTATTTATCGGAATTGACTTGGTGAAGGACCGTCAGAAAAGGACCCCTGCCACAGAGGAAGCTCAACACATCATCTACAAGTAAGTGCACCCCCACACCTGCCTGGTGTCCCCCTTTGAAACATGCCTCTCCCCCCACTTGAAAGCTTCCTGTACTTCCTCCCACCTCTCCAAATAAGGGAAGTTAGAGATGCATTCAATTTATAAATGTGGGCTGCTTGCATGAGAATACTGAACTAGCTCTATGTTCACACTATTCCTTTTTCTTTAAAAAAAAATATTTTATTTATTTATTTGAGAGAGAAAGAGAGCACAAGGGGGAGGAAGGGCAGAGGGAGAGGGAAAAGCAGACTCCCTGGGGAGCAGGGAGCCCATGTCCCAGGACCCGGGGAGCATGACCTGAGCGAAAGGCAGATGCCTAACCGACTGAGCCACCCAGGCGCCCCTGTTCACACCATTTTTAAATAATCTTGGTTACCAGTTATATGCACTCACGAATATTTCCCGCTCTAATTAGGATGAAAGAAAAGCGAGTACTTCTCAGTGCGGACGGACCTCACCGAAATGTGCTGAAAATAAAACCACCTATGTGCTTCACAGAAGAAGATGCTAAGTTTATGGTGGACCAACTTGATGAGATTCTAACAGGTCTGTTCGCAGACGTTTCAGATGCCTCCCCATCCCGCACCCGGTCATACGTGGCGTGACCGCGTGGTGTGTGTTCTTCTGACAGAAGGGAAGGCGCTTAGAAATGGATGGGTAACTTTATGTAGCACCAGGAAAAGATAGCTGAAAAGTAATAACTCTGTAGACTCTTAGCTCACTTTAAAGTGTCTGCATGCACTCCCACAGCTCCAGATCTGGGTTTTTAAGGAACGGACACAGCCTTATTTTTTCCCTATAATTCACTTTTTAAAAAAGAAAACTGCATGTCTGCCTTGCCCGGTGCACCACAGATGCAGTGATGTATAGAGTTTTAGCATTCTTCCCCGGGAAATAGAAGAAACATTATTAATAAAAACTATGGGTTACAGGTTAACAATTCTTTGCTATCTGATGAATCGTTCAACTTGCATGTGTATTTCACTTATTACATTTTGAGGCTTTTTGTTTGCCATTCAGAACTACCCCTGTCATAGGAATTTATCTTTTGATTACCTATATTATATAATAGGGTTCATTTGGTTTTTTGTTAGGAGCATAAATTGAACTTGAAGAGTAAACTAGTGGTGAAAACCCTGTTGGAAAACATAACATACTGTCAAATGTTAGAACACTTTCTTTGAATAAATTTGAGTATTTCCATTGAATAAAGTGAACGAGGCATACCCAGCCCAGGTTCAGCGGCCCTTGTAAATGATAATGATGAAATGTGCCAATAAAAGTCTAAGAGCAGCCGTTCTAATACGGACATGTTTTAAACGCATTACATTTACTTCTCAATTCTTCATTAAAGGTATTTCTATAGACACCAGAGAGGTCTTTTTTTTTTTTTTTTTTTAAGATTTTTATGTTATTCTGTCTTCTCCATTGTATCTTCCTTGATGTAGTTTTAGAAGAAGGCATCGGAGCCCAAAGTGAGAGTGTGATCTCTGAGAATGCTCCGTGCAGAGCAAAGGTAAGAGTCTGCTGTTCTCTTTTGGGGGGAAAAGTTTAAAACTTTGGAACATTGATTAAAAGGAAGGCAAATTTAAAAAGTTGTACGATATAACCTTTAGAATAAAATCCACCTTTGCTGGGATTGGCGTAGTGTTGTGATTTTGAGTGCACTATTACATTTCAAAGCAAGTGTCATACCGTTTGAAAGAAAGCAAGCCAGAGAGCCATTCTTACAGAATCATTCCCATACCCACCAAAAAAACCCTCAGGCCAGCAGAGGGAATCAGCAAAATATTGAGAGAAATGATAACTGATGTCCTAAGCTCCTTCCTGCTTGTCCGCAGGCCACCTGACACTGGGTTGGATTCCCACACATCACCCTTTAAAATCAGCGGAAGAATTAGCCGCGTGGCTCAGAAAGGCCAGTGTTCCGTCACGGATGGTGGCAGGGGCCTAGGAAGCCTCTGGCACCAAGTGGCCTAGTTTCTGCATTTGATGTGCTTCCAGCAGAGGGCCTTTCCATTCTCTCCCTGAGCTGCCCGGGTTTGAGAAAGCACTCCCCGGAAACAGAAAGGCGAACCCTGGAGAGGCTTTGTTACATAATTTGCTATTTGTTTATGACTTCGATGCATAAAGGAACACTCAGTGCCTTGAGCCCGCCTGCGCATACCGAGCAGTCAGCAAAGCCCTTTTCCTGGTGCAGAAACATTAGGCTCTTTGAATGAGAGCAAATGATTTGCTAACAGGACAGCTTCTGTCTCTTGGTGGAATGCAGACCAGGTCGTGAAAACCATACTTCTCTGCAGTTTGACACTTGATTATCAAATCCAGGACAGGACCGTAGCTGAGAACTGAACATACACTGACAAGGAGAAGGGAGTTCATGGGAAATCGCACATCGGAGTTAGCACCCATGTTCCTGAAATTTTGGCTCAGGATCTCGGAGTTTATGTTGACCTTGCATTTCAGATGTCTATGGGAGAGTCTAGGCAGGGTTTGGGAGGACGGCGGGGCACTGTGGTGTTGTGTGGGGCTGAGCCCTGCAGAGGTCGGGTGGGATGGAGCGGCCGCCCACTGGAGTCTGCGCACCTGTCTTGCAGATGCCAAACGAAGCACACTCACTTGAATGGCTTGATGACGGCACCTTGGACCCCAGGGAAAATCCCAGCCGAAAGAGAAATGGATTGTGCACTGATAAACATTCCCTGCTCAGTAAGAAGCTCAAGACATGAGAGATGAACACCGTAAAGCAGGATAAATGTCCAGGGTTATAGAGAATCATTGGAAGTGTCTCTTTCTCCTCCTAGCAGCTCTATCGTACCCTCTACCGGTAGAATTTGCATTCCATTTCGACGTGTAAATAACAAGGTAACGGAGTGAAAAGAGTAAGCCAAGTGATAATCAAACCATGTCAGGATGATTAGTTCAGCCTCTAGCCTGTTAATTCCTTACTGGAGATTTCCGAAAGTGCTTTATTTATTCTACTAAATTCATGCTTCAAATTGAAAATGAAGTTGGCGGCTTTACTCCGTTTCAGTGTTTGAAATGAGAGAACAAAGCACTATAGGTTCCTTAACTTTTCAGACTTATGCCTTAAAATACGAAGGAATCATTCTTCATTGATTTAATGTATATATATTTTGGGGGCTATAATAAAAGATGATGTAAACCAAAACATTTTTACTAGAAAAGTGTCCCCTTGTTTTGCGGAGAATATTAGGGCTGGTGAAATCAAAACCATTTGGAAAAAAATCGCTTACAGCCAGTGTTAAGAAGTAAGTGGATAAATCAGACCTCTGGCTGAGGACCAGGTTAGTCAAGGTCTTGAGGGTCGTGGTGGGCTCCTGGCGTCAGCAAGAAGGACAAGGAGTAAACTCAGAAACACTCGCACCGATGCAGCTGGAATAGCAGCAGTAGCCAAAGCGCTGTGTTCAGTCAGGAGACCTCAGCTCCGTGTATGTCAGGTTGTGTCCCCTTGGCAAGTCACTTACCTGTCAGGTAGGAAGTTACCTTTCAACCAGCCATCTTCCTTTCTCATCAAGTTTATCGGTACCACGCATAGCCCCGCACACGTAAGAATAGGAGCGTGCACACATACACACACACACATTTATAACCAGACACTGGACAAGGGAAGTGAGGAAATCTGGAACCTCAAGGGTCTCTTTGTAACATGCTGGTACCGTGAGACATTCACTTGGAGGCCGATGTACTTAACTGGAGGAAATCTGAATTTCCGTATTCACTTCCCATTCTCTCTCCGTGGCCTTCCGAAGACTTATTAAACTTTGTATTTTGGTTTTTGTTCCATGCAGGAGGGAGAATAATTTTGCTATGGCTGTTTCATGACAACTAAGAGGGATGTCAGGAGGAAAATTAATTGTAAAATCTTCCTTTCTGAGTTTGTGATTAATTAAAATGCTATTTTAAAAAGCAAGGTCTCATTATTAAATACTTTTTCCACCTAAAAGTTTCACTGACTCTGTGGGTTCTGGCTGGATAATACAGAAATTGGTTCCCAGGAGCTGATGAAAGGGAGGGAGTGTAGAGGTCTTTGTAGCTGGCTTCTAAGGAACAGCTAATTAGATCCTTACCAAACAGATCCACATCCCGTGAGCACCCCATGTGGGCAAGCTCAGACAGTACTTAAACTCTTTTCTTTTAGGAGAGGGTATGTATGTTCAAGAGAGCAAGGCAAAAACAACCCATACCTTTGTTACAAGTTTTCTAAGTATAAGATAATAGAAAATTAAGACTTTCTTCTTTGATATACTGCACTCTTCTTCGTTGCCTGTAAGTTAGGTTTCCATAATAAGAAGGAGAGATCTAGAAACAAGTGACACCTTCCCAAATGTGGCAGAGACTACCTGTGTGTGAGGTTCCAGGTAACTGCCTCGTTTTGGGGGTGTCAGAATTGAGGTTGTGTCAGCTCGGGTCCCCTGGATCTCTAGATTGAGTCCCAAGATAGATCTAACACCAAGATCATTGGGCGAACAACGGACTAGAGGTGGGGCCTGTGAAAGATAAAGGAGCAAACAAACAGCAGTTGTCAGGAAAAGCTTTCAGATCTGGAACGTAAGAAAAGAGAAGAGCCAGAGAGGAGATCTGAGTGGGAAGAGGCTCAGACTGAGGTCCAGCTCTGTGGAAAGTCTCTGCCAGTACGCTGGGGACTCAGGGTCGTGGACTGTGCAGACAGCTGCAGGCAGAGATGACCGGCCCTGGATGGCCCTATTGGCTTCCCTCACTGACTGGGAGCCCCCAGGGAACACTTATTCAGCCCGAATGTTGCTGCTGGTCTTGAAGATGCTGTAGCTGGAGACTGTCAGCGGACTGTACTTTTCGCCACAGGCTCCCTCTTGAAGGAGAACTGAGCAGCACACAGCCGTGGCCGCCATGGCCGGCCCCTTGTGCCGCACAGATCCACTTCCCTGCAGGTTTGGGAAGTAGCTCTTCAGTGGTTCTTGTGTATCTCTCTTCCTCAAGGAAGAGTTAGAGGAGTGAGCTTAGTGGAGCCAACTACAACTCCTGTCACTGTAAATAGTCTGGGGGCCACAACTGGTACTCATTACCTCCCTTCTCCATGACTGAAATTCCATTCACCCTGGGCAATCACTTCTGGATGTCCTGGTGGTGGTGTATCTCAAGCCCTCATTCCTAAGACACATGATCCCCTAGAAACCATGACTTTCTCAGGCCAGGGTTGATCCACTGTCTATTCACAGTTACAATTAGGCAAGGAGTACCAAGAGACATCAAAGCATACCATCTAAGCTTCACATGTATCCTGTCTCCCCCACAGTGGAAGAGCAGCCCCCACCCTTATGCAGATCAAAGTCAATGAACTCTGCCAACATGGAACCTCCAACTGCTGCTTCCTAGATGCAAGGAGTCCAAGGTGCTTATAGAGTAGCAGGACTCTTGCTTTATCTCTTAGCAAAATACACCCCTCTGGGAGCCAGAGCTTCCAACCCTACAGTTCCCAAAGTTGTAGTGATAGGAAGAACAAAATTCTCCACTGAGTCATTGATGGTTTGACCTCTTGTATCAAGGACCCTCCTGGGGACACAGTGCTTTATGGAAGTCCCTGAGTGGGTGCAGATACCACCATCTGAAGGACTACCATCCTTGTAGAGTATTACCTCTGAGCCAGTTCCAATACCCTAGCAGAGTGGTAGCTTCTGGGTAATGTGAGTATAATACAACCAGTCGATTTATTGGTCATGGGCCTACCATATACATCTTCACTGTGAAGTGAGTTCCCCATTTGATGTTTTGCGGGAGTCCAGGCTTGTGGATCAGGCATTCCACAATAACCCCTAGATTGTGGTTCTAGTCAGGCTCTGTAAGTAAACCTACACCCTAAATAGATGTTATTCTTGTGCAAATAAACTACTGGCTCTTCCAGGACAGAAGGGACCCAATGTAGTCAACATGTCACCAAGTGGCCAGTTGATTTCAAGGTTTCAAGGGTTAGTGTCATGTCAGGGACTCACTGTTGGTTTCTGTTGCAGGCAGATTAGGCAATCACAAGGGGCAAGAGCTAGATCTGCCCTGGCAATTGGGGGTCCCTGCTGTGGACTATCACCTTACCTCCATCACACTGACTTCGAAGAATCCAAGCCAGCTGGACATTTTGAAGAATGTCTTTCAATTTGAATTTGTATAATTTTGCTCATGATTAAATTCAGGTTAAACATTTTGGCAGAAAAATTACATAGGTCATATACCCAGATTCATTTTCTTTTTTTTTTTTTTTT